ATCCAACAAAAGTAGAGTGCTATAAGTCGAAAGCCCTCTTTTTTTACTATGAAAGGGGGGGGGGGGGGGGGGGGGGGTTTCCTAGTGGCCACAAAATCCTGCTGTTTGTAAAACAAAATGTGGTGGGAGGTGTGAAGGTGTGTGTGAGCACCTGACTCCGGTTGAGTCGGGAGGAACGGGTCGGTGTTCCAGCACACGGTCGTCAGAAGCTTGCAGAAGGATATCCAGACCGTTTTACAAGAGGAAAATTTAAATAAACGTCTTAAAAAAATAATTCTATTAGGATTGATTATATTTTAAGATTTTTTGGTTTTTGAAGATTTTTTTTTTTTTTCCCCCTACTAATTCTCTCTTTGGGTTTCTATAGTTCAGACGTCCACGGCGGCCATCTTGTTTAACCGTTTCAACTGAATTCAGGCCAACTCTATGACAAAATATAAGAGTCAATCCATTTTTTCTTTCTTAATTGTGAGAATAAGGTTACAATATTAAAAGAATACAGTTGGAATATTTGGAGAATGACATAATAAACTTATGAGAACTCAAACACATACACAAAAAGTTATCTAAAATGTTTCTTCACTTCTCACTTTTTTTCCCTCACAGTTTTAAGACTTTATCCTGGTAACGGTGCATCTTTCGTTGCTAATATTACAACTGTGTTGTCGTAATTAAATAACCTGACTCAGTCGTACAATGCATAGAAGGGAGGATTGATATAAAAGCCACATTTTGAGAATGTTTTTTGTCATTTGTAATATATTTCTGTTTTTTTTTTTTTAAATTAACATTAGATCTCATATGGAGGGAAAAAACATTGGAGATTTAATTTTTAAGCCACGTTGCTCAGCCCTACTCTCAGTCACCAATCAGACATTAAGCAAATGGAAATAATTTTGGTAATTGAAACTGACCTAAAACAGGAAAAGTTTTGTTTTTCATCTCAGACAGGGAAATAAAAAATGAGATTTGTCGTAACACTTTATTTGACGGGGTGTGCATAAGACTGATGATGTCTATGACAGTCATCATGAAATGTCATTTGGTAAATAATGACACTTTTAATGCAAAGTTGCATTGAAAGTCCATTAAAAGTGCCAACTTTGCATTATTTTGTAAATATTGACACTTTAAAAACCCCGTCAAATAAAGTGCTGCCTTATTTTTTTTCCATATCTGGTTTTAGCAGTATATTTTTATACGTAAGGTCATACATGTTATTAAAACTGATGTGACTTAACATTTTCCTCTGCATCGAGGTTTGGGATACTGCTGAGGACGATGTGGTCAAACGTCTCCAGGCTGGACTAATGGTCATCTAGCTGACATTTAACAATGGCTGCCCACTTCTGTTTAACTCATTTTCTGGTTTCTGCTCCGAGTTGTGGAGTCCCGTTCACACTGGAGCCTCTTTGTGTCGCCGTGGCAGCTGGCTCTCTGTTGCTCGCAGCCACATTTTCTAATGAGCGCGCTCAACATGCCGCCCAGTCGTCACCCAGTTTCCATCTTCTTCTTCAGGCGTTCTTCACCAATACCTACATCCAAGAGCACCCGGGTGACCGCGAACGCATTGGAGTCCTTAAGCAGCTCATCGCCCTGCAGGTACATTTTTCCGTCATCTTTGTCAAGAACCTTTTTTTTTTTTTTTTTTTTCCTCTCCTCTTTTTCGCCAGACACCTGTGCTCTGCTTATGTCCTCCCTCGCTCCCAACAGATCCCGCTCCTGGAAGATGGGATTCGCATCCACGGGGAGAAGGCGACGGAGCAGCTGAAGCCCTTACACAATCGTTTAGTCACTTGCTTCAGAGATCTGCGGGAGAAAGTGGAGAAGCTGTACGGCGTCATAACCTTGGTGCGTTGCCAGCTGCAAACTTGATTTTGTGCAGCAGGGTGCCAACTTTCGCCATTGGCCCTCTTGCCTTCCTATCAAATGCTTCTCATTCAAAGGGATAGTGTACATTATATTAGCACAGGACCATAAATCTTCCTTTAGCCAGGCTTTTGCAACCTGTGCCTCGCCTGTCACTCTGAATCTTCCTGCCAAGATCCCCCTCTCTCTCTCTCTCTATCTCTCTTTCTCTCTCTCCCTCCCTTCTTCATCCGCACCCCGGTGACGCTTAATCCCATTTGTGTGTCCCAGCCCTGCTCTCTGACTGAGAAGAAGAAGAGCCGCGTGGGCTCGGTCGTCCTGCCCTACATCATGTCTTCCACCCTGCGCCGCATGTCCACCGCGTCCACCTTGTCGAGCACGTCCTCGGGCCTCTCCAGCGGCTCCTCGGACGGGCCCTCCTCCCAAGAGTCAGTGCTGCCACATCCTCACATCGCCCCGACTGATAATCAGACGTGTTCTTTTATTGCTCTTGCATAAAACAGAGTCATTTGTCCCCTTTGTTTCACATTTTCCTGCGTCTGTTTCCGTGCCCGGGGTGGTTTCGCTAACAACTCCTCGTCGACTTGTCCCAGTGATCGCAGGGTTTCTGTTCTGTCGCGCTCCGAGGAAGACAACAGGATCGCTCGGAAGAACAGAAAGGAGTGGAGCGTGAGCAAATCTCAAGTGCTGCTGGAGAAGAAGTCGGATGCAGATGAGGTGAGGCCTTATGTCTGGGCTACTGTGCTGTATACAGTTACACGATACCTATAAATAGTCCTTGCCCTCTCGAATGTTTTACCCTTCGTTTTGCTTTTACATATCAATCGCAGGCGGCAAAACTCGACTTTTTTGACGAAAACAAATCTACAAAGTAACATTTAATTGAAAAGATTTAACACGAGGTAAGTGCATAAATATTCAACCCCCTTTAAAGTGACTGACCTAATTGAACAAAGGTCCAGCCAAGTGGTAGAAATATTCTCACAATGTGTGGATGGAAATCACCTCAGTGCAGTCATTGTATTATTAAAAAAAAACCCATGGCTGGAAGGTCCGATCTCCGATTAATCAGAATCCCCCGCATGAAGTCAAAGGAACTCTCCGAGCAAATCAGAGAAAAGCGTACTGAAACGTAAAAGTAAGGGGCTGGACACAAAAAAAGTCTCCAAGGCTATCAGACAAGACACTATGTTTGACAGACACTAAATACTTCACCACAAACGCATCATCTCCTCTGTGAAGCACGGCGGTGTCAGCATCATGCTGTGGGGACGCATCCCAGCAGCAGTCCCTGGAAGGTTTGTAAAGGTAGAGGGTAAAGTGAATGCAGCAAAAAACAAACAAACAAACAAAAAAGAACTACAGCTTCAGAGAACGTTTGTTTTCCAGTCAGACAAAAACCCAAAACACAGAAATGAATGATGACAGCGAGGTGGATGTTCTGGTCTAGTCAAAGCCCAGATTTCAATCATATAGAGAATTTGTGGCAGGACTTTGCAACCAATCCCCACGAAACATGACAGAGAGTGAACAGCTCTGCACAGAAGAATGGAGACGCATTGGTTGGCAGCACGTTTACTAAATACTGACTTGAAGGGGGTGAACGTTTATGCAGTCACTTATTTAGTGTGAAATATTTGTACTTGTCATTACTTTGTAGAAATCCGTTTTCATTTTTGCTTTTGGTACTTTTGTTTTTGTTTTTTTTGTTAAAAATGCCAAATTGTTTTGATCATGATTGACTTGTTAAAGCAATAAAAAGGGTAAAAGATCCAAGGGGATGAATACATTTTTATAGTTGCTGCATGTTAAGCTCTGGTTCCCTACAAAATTATCCAATCTTTTTCACTTTGTGGGATAACTGCATACATTTGTGTATTTTATGTGACAGACCAACAGAAAGTAGCGAATAGCTGAAAAGAAAAGCGTAAAAAGAAGAGATCTTACTTGTTTTTCAACATTTTGCCTACATTCCATCTGCAAGTCATTTGTGGTGGGCATCTGCCAGCTTCCATGTCTAAAATACTGGCATTTGTTCGTCCAAATAGTGCCACATGAGTTTTCTTTTTTTATTTTTACTTCTTGTAATCAGTAATGTCCCACAATGCTTAGGGGAATTTTGTTTAGTTTATGGCAAGTTTTGACAAAAAAAAAACAACCCTAGTTAGCTTTAGTAACAATCAAGTTTCACCAAGGGAGTATTGTGTTCAGGGTTATGTGGCGGGTTTATAGAGCCAGGGTTTCTGCCCATCCTTAAAAAGTCTTAAGGACTTTTCAAGGCCTGAAAATGTCTTAAATTCTTTTAAAAAGTAAGTTGGCCTTTAACAAGTTAATCCACAGGTCTTAAATATTTTATTATTTCACATTACATAAATATCTATGTTTCTTTCTTGTGGAACTTTTCTGTCAGGCAAAAGTTTGAGTCGTGCTCAGACTTATTCATTGCGTTCTGTGATTTGAGACGATAACTCACTGCTAGCATACCCTTGCTAGTAATAAAAAGCTAACTAGCTAGCTTTTTTTGTGACTGTCTTGGGCAAATGCACATTTATCGCCAGTCATTTGGACAAAGTTGGTATATTTCTGTGGAGATATAGCTTTTAAGTTGTGTTCGTAATGGTCTTTAAAGTCTTAAATTTGAGGTGCAGAAACCCTGTTATAACTTTACCCTGCTATAAATATCTCTACAACTCTCCATTTCATTCTGCAGCACCCAAATAGTCCCTCTAGCTGAATCTGGGTCTTTTATCATGAGATGAAGCTACACACGTTTAACTAACTTCTGATGGCAACTGGTTTCAGTGGATTTTATTTAGGGGTCCAGAAGGAAACGGGGCTCAAAAGTCCATTTTTGTGGTGTTCATTTTCAGAACCATGTATCCCTTCGCTTTTCATCTCGCATCCGTTTGGCTCTTGGTCTTGATTTGTCATATAAAATACCAATACGTTTGGTGAAGTGTGAGCGCTTTTGCTCGTTTGAAGTTATTCCAAGTGTAATAGTGAAAAACTTCTTTATGGTTTTCTGTGCTTTTCTTGGAGTTCTTATTTTCTTCACGCCTTTTTTTTTCCTCCCACCACCATCACCACCCAGGTTTCACCAGACAAGCAGCAGAGACCCAAAAGTTTGCAGCTCGGTGACAGACGGCTCACCCTCTCCCTTTTCCAGGGCGTTTCATCCCAGCTCAGCCTGTCTAACCAACTCAGCCCGCTCGCCGCCTCCCCTCACACTCCAAACACGCCGCGCAGCTCCAGTACGTAGCGAACAGCTCCTTCCTCTTCTGAGAAGCACCACACTGCACTTCTCCCCCTCTTAAAGTTCTGCTTTTCCACACAATAAAGGGGGGGAACCTGGCAGACTTCTTTTTTTTTTTTTTTCTGGGGTGTGTAAGCATATTCTGGTCTGCAGAGCTAATCAGGTCACACACACATTCACAGATGGATGTGGTCTGAAGAGTTTTTATTCCTCCCCCCCCCTCGCTAGGTTATTCATCACTCCTCAGCGACAACGATGCCAATACCATCGACACCCCAGGGACTCCCCCACCCATGCCTCCGAAGAAACATCCGCACGAGATTGACAACCTCGCCGGCTCTTCAGAGGTACATCTGCTTAGAGGAAATAACAGCCCCTCCCTTATGCATATTTAATGTTTAGTAAACATGAATATGCTCCCATTTTTTTTTTTTTTTTTTTTGTAAATTGTATTTTATTTATATTTAAAGTCTTAACACGAACCTTCTTCTGTGTTCTTCCCCCCATCCAGTTCGTCCCTCCGCTACCTGTGAAAATTGAGAACAAGCCTCCCCCGCCTCCTCCGAAGACTCGAAAGTCAATGTTCCCCTCGTAAAGAGCAACACCCCAGTAAGGCAACACCTACGCACCGACCTTGGGAGTTTCATTAATTCCCTGATTTGGCTGTGATGAAAGCGCAGCCTCGTTTTAGACGTCACGGAGACGCCACAGTGGGGGTCACAGAAGAGAACCGGAACGTGGAGGGGAGAAGCAGGGCTGGCTTGATTTCTTTATTTCTGTTTGTTTTGTTTGAGTAATTTGCTTCTTTTCAGTTCACTTTTACTTCCAAGCTGTCCACCGCTCTTAAATTTGAGTAATTATCATAGCGTTAAGCTGGGATGGGAAGGATCCGTCGTCAAAACAGCAGAACCGGATGCATGATTTGGGATGTGATTTAAGGTACAGTCTTAGGCTCTGTGGGCTTATTAAGGTAATGAAAGACTCATTCCCTCAAGATGGGTCACAGCAGTGCATTTTCTGTTTAATCAGTGGCAAACAAATGGAATGAATAATGGTACAGCGTCATGTTTTTATTTTTATGTTTGTGTATGGAGCGACACTGGATGACTCACTCTCCCTCTAGCTGTTTAACAGCATCCCCTATACAAAGAGCTGCATTAGATGAATGTCAAACTTGACTAATATGCAGGGATTACCATGTACAGAAGGTAACTGTTGGTCTGAAGCGGAGTTGGTCTGCGTCTGTCGATTGTGTTCCTGTTTTACTTGTTGTTAGCGCAGCCTGTCATTCCGACCCGCCAAGGTTTCAGAGACACTGGATGGCATTATTGAATGTGCTGCAGATTCTGCGCTTGTTGCTTACGTCGAACCCAACCTGTTGATACACTAAGCTGCAGTACGTGGTGGTGTTTATTGGGAAGTGTTGTCAAAAGAAGAAATGGGGATGGGGGGGAAAGAAACACTTGATACCACTGTCAAACCTGCTTAAATACAGAGCTGCAGCCATAAAAGCAGACAAAACGAAACTGGTTCTTGTGACTGCGATTCGTTCGCGTCAGATGCTTTTAGTCTGCTTTGTGCGTAACCTGACGTTGAAAACCTGACAGACTTTTTTTTCCAAGCGTTATGTATAGTTGTGTTGAAGCTCCCTAAATACGCCTTTAGACTTTTTATAACATCCACCATCTTGCTAAATCCCTAGCTTTCTCACACCATCATCTTCACAAAGATGTTGATGGTCTCTTAACAGGATTTGGATTTTTTTCCATTTATTGTGTCATGAAAGAAAAACAGAGTTTTCTGGGTCTATTTTTCCTATTAACTATTTTTGATTTCTTTTAAACAGTGTTGCATTGTAACAAACAACAAATGCATACATTTCTAACTTTTCTGGAACTTGGTCATTTCACCTCTATATATGGACCTTGTTTATTCAGGAAAAGCACACAAATGTGGTTTCAACTTGGTACTTTTATTTTTTATTCTGATGAATCTTCATCCCAATACTTCACCACTATGGCCAAACCAAATAAATAGAAATATACTTTTTGTCCATGTGTAAAACATGGCATGTATAAAAAATGTAGGCAAGTGGATAACGCACCACATACGTTTTGAAATTGTCTGTTTACGGGTAAGTGGGCACAAGAAAGAGGGACAAAGTGACCAGGTTAGCAAGTCATTAATTACATTTGAAGCCAAAGCAGCAACATTCTGCTTTTTTTAAGATTTGCAAACAAGCACAATGATTGCAAATCAACATTTTAAATTGACTTCGCAACTTGTATTCACATTTAGAGCAGTTAGCATCAGAAAATCTGCAGTTAGAGAATGCAGGTCCATACTTCCAAAAAGCTGCCGAAATGTCCAAATCCACCCTTTCCCATGGACAGGTTGACTGCTTTAAAGAATCAAACATAGCAACTTTGGCGTTTTCTGTTAGACCCACTTGCTTCTGCTGAAAGACTTGCTCTCTCTCACTTTATCGCAGCCCGTATGACCCTCGAAATAAGATAATTTATTTTTAAAACCTTCTTAGTTCAGGAATTTGCAAGTTTATAGTTCCATAGTCGACTTCCAGATGCTGAATTTCTGAGTGGGGAAAAAAATCACAGGTTCCAACATAAAATATGGCTGCCTCACATGCTTGACTGATAGTTCAGATGTATCTTGTTAAACTGTTTGCACAAACATTATGCGACCTCTTTTGATGAACATACTGCTAAAGTATTTGAAAGTCCAAATAAAATGCATTTCTGTTAGCGTCCCTTGCTAACTACGGTTAGCCTGAATATCCGATTCATTGAGTAGCAATTCCTTTATCGTTTTATTTTTCTTAACTTTACTGCAACTCTTACTGGTGTTCCAACTCAGCAAAGGAGAGCAGTTGAGTTAGAGCCAAGGTACAACACAAGAGGTAAATAACATGCTAGCTACCAGAGCTACTTCCTGCTTATCAGGAAGCTGTAGTACTCTTCTCCGCTACTTTTTATTTAGAACAAAAATGAACTTCATAAGTCTTTTTTTTGTTTGGCTCACATCGCCTCTTGCTTCTACATTATTTGGTGTGTTCACAAACTCAGTGCAAATACAGTAATTGATACCAAACTTTCCTAACAGTCACGCTAAAGGCAAACCAAGATGGCACAGCTTGAGAGGCACGGCCTTTAAAAATGATATAAAACCCAAATTAGATCTTGTTAATGAGCACGTTTATGAGGGTTTGGATCCTCAGTCGCCGTGCTGAGCATGCCTGCTTCAGGCTCTCGGTAAATATTTATTGCAGGGGCATAAAAGTTTCTTGTCAGGAGAGTAAATGAGCAAAGTTTCCAAATGTGTTTTTTTTTGCTGGGACTTTTAACGGAGCCATAAATACAAAATGACTCTGGAGGTCACTTTAGCTTGAAAATTCAGGTGTTGTTTCTGTTAAAAAAATAAAATAAAATTCTCAGAGATTTGCACAGCGGGTGTTTACATTATGTTGGAAGCAAAGTCATTTTACCGAACACTGTAAATCTTTTTTTTTTTATATATATATAATTATTATTATTGTTATTATTTTTTAATAAGCAATACAAATGATGTGCCTTCAGGGTGCTGAATCTGTGAGTGCATGCTGTTTTGATAGAGATCAAATAGAACTGAATAATCATATCATTGCTGTTATTTTTCTATTTTTAGACCGATGTTTTACAAGGGATTACTGTTGTTGTATAGTGCAGATTTCTTTAAAAACAAGAAATGTTTATGAACAATGATTCTACAGACATAGTGATATTTTTTATAATGAACAAGCTGTTGACTGAAATAAAATAAAGATTAAAAAAAAAAAAACAAGCTCAGCATGTCTCCTTCTGTTTGAAAAGTGTTTCCTCTCTGTTGCTTAAGTGCAGTTGTGTAATCACAGAGAACACGGGTTATTCTCTGTGGGTACTCGGATAGTGGTTTGGATGCTGATAGCGTGACAAATTACACATTCAGTTTCAACACATCCAACAAGCCGGCATAAAAAAAAACAACCCAGGTAATTTATGCTTTTCAAATACCACGGGTCAGATGAAGGTAAATGATGCCGCTGTAGCTCACGGTGATTCACACGCGGTTCGTTATCGACTGGGGTGGGGTTTATAAGATGTTTATGGAGGACGCACGCGTTTGCCTTCGTGTGTGTGTGTGTGTGTGTGTGTGTGTGTGTTGGGGCTTGGGTCTGGCTAATCAGGATTTTTAATGGCCTGTACCCCTCCTGTCAGATTGTGAGGTAAGGGAGATAACTCTGCCAGGAAACCTCAGGAGCAATGAACACTTGTACTGATGTTCGCTCATGCAAACAGAGCGGTGTTGTAGCTGCCAGCTTTAACTAGATGCTCAGGAACTCCTTTGTGGAATTGGGCCTGCATAATGCAACATGCTTACAGCTTCATGCTAAATTGATTAAAAAAAAAAAAAGCATGTTATTAGTAACGGTATCGTTCTTTTTATTCTTTTTCGTGTCTTTCCAGCTTCTTTGACAGCTCGGGTTGACGTCAGGCCAGTCGCCTCCGTCTGCGTGCCTTTGAGTTCCTTTGCCGTCTTAAGATCGGAAATGTGTTTTGTTAAACACAGTTGCAAACTATTCAGAGAAGTTAAGAAAAAAGAAATCATTTTTACTTTACATTTAGTACAGTCACAGTATTAGCTCCACTGAAAGGGAAGTAATAATACGTCAGCAGGAGCGGTACCACCTATTGGACGACTGCATCCTCCATTGCAGGTAATGTTTGGAGATGGTCGCTTCCTGTTCCGACATGACTGTCAAACATTTCCCACAAACGCGCTCCCAGGTGAGCGGGGACTGTTATAGATGTGGCCGCATCATCCAGGTGAGTAAAGAAACGGCTGTTGCTGAATTTTACACAAATTGAACAAGCTAAAATATTTGGTATTAAAGTTCCTTATCTCCATTCGTATGTCCTTATTTTCCATCTCGCAGAGCCCTTGCATTTCCCTCATGCATACAGCAACAGCAGCACAAGGATGATACTGATCACTGGAAAGAGAAAAATGGACAAAAATTTCAGTCTCTAGGTGTGCAAGGCTGGTTTAAAAAAAAACAACAAAAAAAAACATAAGACTTGCAGCTGTAATTGCAGCAGAAAGTGGTTCTGCAGAGCATCGACTCAGGGTCCTGAATACAGATGCACACCACACCTTTTATTTGACAAATGATTTTTTTAAAAAGTTTTAAATGTGACATGACAAAATGTAGCATTTAAGTCCTGTTTTACATACAGTGTCTGATGTGCGTTCAACTCATTTCATCAGATTCTCGACACGTTGAGGCATTCAAACTGGATTAAAAAGCTCATCAAGCAGCCCGAAATGTTTTTTTTTTTTTTTTAAGGGAGCAAAAGCATCTCTAGTTAAATCTGGTCTGGAACCTATATATAAAAATGTTCATTATCGGGCAGCAGTTTCCTCCAGCGGTCTCATCTTGGATGTGCGCTCTGCAGGAGGTTTTGTGATACCTGTGTGCAGAATAAGAAAATCATCTCTGTAAAAATTCGTTCAGGTCAGGGTAATAGTTTCAACCACAGCCTTTCAGTGCCGTTTCTGCTCTGTTTCCCTTGTTTCTGTTTGTGTGTGTGTGTGTTTACTCGTAAACTGTAGGCACAGCTTGGTGCTGTGTCTGTCCAAGGGACACACAGAGCTGTCTCCCTGAAGCAGCATGGTTTTTTTTGGGTTTTTTTTTAAATCAACACAGCTTCTTTGTGTGTTGCATGGAGAAACGAGCTGCTGTGATGCATTTTAGGGAAAAACAAGCAGGACGCTTTACTTAGAGAGGAATGAACCACGTGAGGACGTTTGTTACATAGGAAAGTTTGAAACATTTGGAATTGAGAAGGTTTTTATTTTTTTCAGATCCAAAAATGTATTATTTAATCTCAAGATGAATGGAATTTATTAATGTGTAATCTCTTAGTCAGCACTTGATATTAAATTTCTACACTTGCACTGGCTGTAATTATATATATATATATATATATATATATATATATATATATATATATATATATATATATCTTTTTCTAGACTTTTCTGAGAACGTCAAAACTGTGTAATGTTAAAAACCTTTTATTTGGATTCATCTCTATACAGTTGTTACTTGAAGTAAGCGATTTTCTTCTCCTTGTTCAGAGAATAAGCTTTCTAAGCTTTCTAAATAACTCGGCTAATTTATGAGTGGATATTCCTTTATAACATGGATTACATACTTGAAATTAAATCTCCTTAGAATATTACATATCGGTAACCTTGAGTGCAAAAACAAGTTGCAGTCAGTTTTGAAACTGTCTCCTTAATCCTTAATTCATATTCTCAGATGGGTGCCTGA